CGCTCGAGCATCCAACTCTCTGCTCGAGCGGACTGTGCGTATATCAGATCGCGATAGTGACTTTTTAAATCACTTTTTCTGTCCTTTCCCTTTCTCTATAACTTTCCAAAACCCTAATATAACGCCCTCAAAATAGACCCATAAATCATACATTCTTGACATGCATAAACATAAGAGAATGAAGCACATTTCCGTTTATTAGAGTATTAAGTATAAAAGTATTACATGTTGACATCAAAAGTAAATACCCTACAGGCTTACAACTTTCCAAGTTAACACTTGGGTAAAACAAAAGAAGAGTTCTAACTCTTTATACAAAATAAACCCTTGGCTTGATTTACATGTAATACAAATGAAAACAACAAAAAGTCATCTAGCCTCTAAGCCTCCCAAGCTACGTCCTTGGAGGTGGCATACCATCTGTACCTAAAAATGATGTCCCATATAAGGTGAGTCAAAGCACAGTAGAGATATACTAAACCAGATATGAGCAATAATTAAAGCATTAGCATTCGATAAATGGTTAACCCTTGTAAACCAGATTATAACACATTCCAATTCCATGACTAATATGCGCAAGTTTCATTCCACTTTCCTTTACTTATCCAATTCAATTCATAAACATGGCCCAGAACCTGACCAAACAATTAAATGAGGCTACATCTCATATTAATACACTTCCCTAACCACAATTCAAATGAGACTACAACTCATAATAAAAACACTTCCAATACTTCAATTATCTACGTTATGCAAATGCAATTAGAATTTCGGGACTTTCACCCTGGACACTTCGGCCAACTTAGTTATCAATGGAGTCCATCCCCTATCTCCTCCCAAACAGGTTTGAGAGTCCATCACCTATCTCCTCCCAAACCATAGAGTACATCCCTTATCTCCTCCCACACAACATACATATACAATGTATTTAAATACTTATCATATACAATGATCAATCAATACACATATTCGATGTATTATTACAACAGTCATATTCAATGACATATTCCAGATGATTAGTTTCAATTTTCCCTAATCAACATACAGTGTCTACAACAAATAAGACTGTCCTCCACCGATAGCCCAAAGCAGTTATTTCTAAACAGATAATAAATGCATCAAACAGATATAATATCAACATTTTCATTGGTGGGTGATTAATTTATCCAAGTACACCAATCAACCTCATAATTCTAACTCAATTTCATATTTCCCCAAATTAATTATACAAATTAATTTATCACAATAATTAGGGCATTTTTCCTTTTTCTCAAATATTGATCCTAAGACCAAATTCCACCAATTTGACTCACAAACTCATATACCCAAGGCCTTATATGCGCATGGAGCTTTAAAACACAAAACCCATCTTTATATGATTTTAATATAAACCCTAACTTTCCCAAAAATCACCAAACAACCCCATCTATCCAAAATACACAATATTTATGTCAAAACTCATAGAGAGGAGTAGGTTATCCCTACCTCAAATGGAGAGACCGAATGGAGAAGATAATGAAACTCGAAGTGCTCCAAACCCAAGGATTTTCATATTGAAATGTAGCCCACATCAAGGTCCACACTTTTAACAAAGGGACTAGGGTAGAAACACACTAGAACGAGGTGTATTCTTAAAGAGAAGTAGTGGTGTAGAGAGAGAGGCAGCCGATCTAGGGTTTTAGAGACAAAAGGAGATGAAAAAGTGAAGAAGAAACAAGCTGCTGTGACTGATATATGCGAAGCTCGCTTGAGCGAAGGAGTGGTCGCTCGAGCGAAGGAGTGGTCGCTCGAGCGACCAGACACAAAGAAACCTCGCTCAAGCTAACAATTCGAAGCTTCAGGTCTGCAACCCAGAAGCACACTCGAGCGAATAAAAGCTCGCTCGAGCCAAGAAATGCAACCTTCAGGTCCAAAACCAGATGCAGACGCAAACTCGAGCGCAAGACTTCTCGTTCGAGCCACCAGACACAACACTCAACTCTCGCTCGAGCGAAGGAACCCTGGCTCAAGCGAAGGGACAAAAACAAAGATCTCGCTCGAGCGAAGACACCAAAATCTGGGCAGCAACCATTCGTTCCCAATCTCAACCAACCTGTTACAAACCTGCCCAACACATCCTAAAACTCCTATACAAAGAATTAAAGGATGGAAACAAGATACAAACAAAACCAACACCACGGAACCTAAGTTCGGAATACAATAAACAAAGGAGGGAAAACCGGGATCGCTATAACCTCCCCCCCTTGAAGAATTTCGTCCCCGAAATTAGATACAAGTTTTAAAATTATGATTTCTCAATTCCCAACAATATTACAATTCAATATTCAACAACTTGACCCATTACCAGTCATCCCATCTCTTTTCAAGAGGCAATTCACAATATGATACAACATGCATTATCAAATTGCATTTCTTTTAGATCCAACAAGTCTCAACACACATGCCTCACAATTCCATAACATATTCAATGTTAATGATATATTTGCATTTCAACAACACATTCAACATATACAATGTTTTACAACTTAAGACATATTCAATGTTCTTAAAATTTATCAATACAACAAAATTCCCAATACAAGGTTAAACATTATGAAACAAGTTCGGATATTTCTCACGGACATCCAACTCACGTTCCCAAGTGGCTTCCTCAACCCCGTGATGTTTCCACAAAACTTTTATCAAGAGTATCGTCTTGCCTCGCAAGACTTGATCCTGCCTATCCAAGACCCGCACCGGTCTCTCCTCATACGAGGCATCCTCATCTACCTCTAAGTCGGTCCAATCCAATACATGCGATGGATCCGGCTCGTTCTTCCGAAGCATACTAACATGAAACATGTCATGCACTCTGAACAACTGTGGCGGCAAAGCTAAACGATAGGCAACCTCGTCAATCCTCTCAAGGATCTCAAAAGGGCCAATAAATCGAGGGGACAACTTCCCACTCTTACCAAATCTCATCAAACCCTAATTTGCATTGAAAATGGGTTGTTTGTGTAATATGGGTGAAATTTGACCTTGGGAGCAACATTTGAGAAAATGGAGAGAATGTCCTAATTTGCATTATATAAGTTATTTGCTTAAATAGCGGAACCAATGTGGAAATATGAAATTGGTCTGGGAATTATGAAATTGGGGGAAATTGTGATTAAATGGTGTAGTTGGATTGATAAATCACTCACCTATGGAAAATTTAATAATCTGTTTGATAGATTTATTTATCTGTTTAGAAATAATTGTTTTGGGCTATCGGAGGAGGATAGCCATGATTGTTGTAGAACCTGCATAATGATTAGGTAAATTGAAACTGATCGATTGGATTATGTCATTGAATATGACGGTTGGATTAACGCATAGAATATGTGATTTAATTGGTCATTATATGTGACAACGTGTTTAAATACATTGCATATGTGTCTTTGTTTGGGAGGAGAAAGGGGATGTACTCCATTGTTTGGGAGGAGATAGGGGATGGATTTCACTGATAATCAAGTTGGCCGGAGGGTCCAGGGTGAAAGTCCCGAAACCTTATATACATTTGAATGATGTTGATGATTGAAGTGTTGAAGATATGAGTTGTAGTCTCATTTTGAATTGTTTGGATAAAAATGAACCATGTTAATGAATTGATTTGGATAAATAAATGGAAGTGGATTGAAATATGGATGTTAATGTTAATTTGTTATGGAAAGAGAGAAAGTTGGTTTTCAAGTGTTACACATTTATCGGATGCTAATGTTTTAGTTAATTCTCATGTGTTGTTTAGCATATCTCTACTGGGCTTTGGCTCACCCTACTTGGGGCACCATTTTTCAAGTACAGGTGATATGTTGCCTCTAAGATTTTAGCTTAGGAGGTTTTGGAGTTGAAGACTCCCTTTTGTTATCCGTTTTGATGTTAAATGTACATTCAAGCCTAGTGCTTTCTATGTATGGAGCTAGGACTCTTTTGTTGTAACCAAGTGATGACTTGGAAAACTGTAAGCCCGTAGGGCATTTGTTTGTTTAATTTCTTTTGTAAAGAATACTCTGATGAATGTAATATGTAACATTTCTATTATGTTCTATGGATTTTATGAATGGATGATTATGTCTTATTTTGAGGGCGTCACACAATTCATGGAGCTAAAGGAGGCTAAAGGGGAGGAGTATACAAGAAGCCATCCACCGAAGAATGTTGATCCTACCAAGTGGATAGATCTTATTGATAAAAAAAGTGGAACACTAAAGAATTTCTGGTAACATTTTCATCTTTTTTATTATATCAGCGAAGAAAGAATTTGATTAGAATAGGGAGAGATTCTAAAAAAACTAGAAAGAACACAATCAATTTGTTGTGAAATTCCATATGTCTTCTTTTCCCTTTATCTTCTAGGCATGTAAGTGGAACATAATAAAAACAAAATAAGTGGGAAAATGAGAAAGGGAAACTATTAAACATGGATTGGAAGGCTCACATAATAGGAGATTAATTTATGGTTCCTTAAAGTGCATCTTTCACATCATAGAATAAAGAACTAAGATTTCAGTTTCTATTATTGTATTTTCTGTTTGTTTTTTGGTTTGGTCTGAAGTTTCATGGTAATGGTAAGCAACTAGCTGAGTAACTAATACAGGCTATTGAGACAGAGCTTTAGATTTGATAGAGTTATGGAAGAAAGAAAGGGTTATGAGTTTGGTATTAGTAATTGTTCCATATCTTGTAAAATGAAAATGCATTTTTTCACAATCTATCTTGCCCATGCTTATATGCCCCCTATTTGTGAACAGTGTAAATTACTTGTTTATCTTTTTTCACCTAGAAAAACCATCTTATGATGAAATCTCAACAAGTCCTCTAATCTATTTTTCAAAGAATTGAATGAAACTAGTGAATAATTTGAAATATCTTTTAAGTTGAAATGATAAATAGGAAAATGATAGAGAGGAACAATGCAATTTCTTTATTATCAAGCATTAAATTTGTTTTACTAGTGATACATTTCATTGTTATATTGGCCAAGTGGATAGATCTTATTGATAAAAAGTGGAACACTAAAGAATTTCTGGTAACATTTTCATCTTTTTTATTATATTAGCGAAGAAAGAATTTGATTAGAATAGGGAGAGATTCTAAAACAACTAGAAAGAACACAATCAATTTGCTGTGAAATTCCATATGTATTCTTTTCCCTTTATCTTCTAGGCATGTAAGTGGAACATAATAAAAACCAAATAAGTGGAAAAATGAGAAAGGGAAACTATTAAACATGGATTGGAAGGCTCACATAATAGGAGATTAATTTATGGTTCCTTAAAGTGCATCTTTCACATCATAGACTAAAGAACTAAGATTTCAGTTTCTATTATTGTATTTTCTGTTTGTTTTTTGGTTTGGTCTGAAGTTTCATGATAATGGTAAGCAACTAGCTAAGTAACTAATATAGGGTATTGAGACAGAACTTTAGATTTGATAGAGTTGCGGAAGAAAGAAAGGGTTATGAGTTTGGTATCAGTAATTGTTCCATATCTTGTAAAATGTAAATGCATTTTTTCACAATCTATCTTGCCCATGCTTATATGCCCCTATTTGTGAACAGTGTAAATTACTTTTTTATCTTTTTTCACCTAGAAAAACCATCTTATGATGAAATCTCAACAAGTCCTCTAATCTATTTTTCAAAGAATTGAATGAAACTAGTGAATAATTTGAAATATCTTTTAAGTTGAAATGATAAATAGGAAAATGATAGAGACGAACAATGCAATTTCTTTATTATCAAGCATTAAATTTGTTTTACTAGTGATACATTTCATTGTTATATTGATTCATTATTCCTCACAGGAACAATCAAAAGCCAACATATTTGTCTTACTAATGATACATTTCATTGTTATATTGGTCATTCTTCCTTATAGGAACAATCAAAGGCCAACATTGCGAACAGAGAAATGATGTATACAAAACATAGGTGTGGTTCTAGGTCAATCCCTGTTAGAGTAGAAAAACTGGTACGTATCCTTGCACTTTCAGAATTATATTAGATTCTTAGCTTTATTTATTGAATATTTGGTCTATCATATTAGGCACGAGAAAAGAAGATGCTACCTGATCTAGCAAAGTTGTACAAGGAAACTCACTATGATGAGAAAACACATGAGTGGATCTCATCTCAAGCTCAGTGTAATTGTGAGTATATATTGCAATTGTTATCAACAAAATTTTAGAATTCTATTTGTTATAATCTTATTTAATTTTCTAATAATTATTTAATTTTTTTTATATTTGATTGGAAAATATGATACAGACACAGGCTGATCACCTCTCACAACCGAGATCAACCCCTTTGACTGCAGAAGAGCTGTCAATCAAAGTCCTAAAGCCAAGGTTTGGCTATGTGAAGGGACTTGGCATGAGACCTTCATCCTCTATTAGAAGGACCACTACCATATATGCTAAAACAAATGATTATGTGAAGCGCCTTGAGATGCAAATAGAGGCACAAAAGAAACAAATACAAATGCAAAACAATAAAATAGAAGATCTTGAAGAGGGTAGGAAGAAGCAAGGGAAGATAATGGTTGATGTTGTTTACTTTTTAAGTACCAAAGGATTCACTGGACACTTTGGAAGTGGAGGGAACTCATCCACAGATGGACATATTTCTTGGTAAAGTATCTTAACTTTAATATAACAAATTTTATAAAAGAAAGAATTAGGAAGTAATGGAAACATGCATATGACATCTAATTTGTACAGGTGCACGGGATGTATAAATTGTGAATTAGTCTAAAAAATATTTTTTTTCTCTGTACTTAAAGCTTCAAAAAAGGCCGTCGAAATACTAAACTATCACACAACCACAAATTTGTACAGGAACCAATAGAAACACCTTAGGAGGGACCAATATAAGTTGTATGAACTTACGGCACATTAATGGGATGCACCATTTGTGAATTAGCCTTAAAATTAATTTTTTGTTCTCATAATCTCGAAAAAAGTCTGTTAGAGGGATAAATTGTATAATTGATCTAATTGTAAATTGATGAGTTACTAATGTTTTTAATCTTTTGTATAATTCATTAATTACTAAAGCTTTTAATTTATTTTTTTGCAGATTGGATTGGGGTGGCATTTTTGACGCGTAACAATGATGTAATTTGCTTGAATGTTCATTTTTGTTTGATAAGGATACACATACTTTGTAGAGTTGCACTAGTTATTGTTGGATGTTTGGTAGAATTGAATAAGTTATAACTTTTGGATATTTTGTGGATATTTCACTATTTTATTGTATTAGGATGAAATTATTTGTAATGATGAATGGATATTTTCATTTTGTTAATTCGTAAATGTGTTGATAACAGGTTAGGTTAAGTTGTGATGGAATTGTTATATTCAACAGGTTTCAACATGAACAGGATTATATTTGTTGAACTAAAATTTAGATTTTGATAAAATAGGTACATAATATGGAAAAAAATATTATGAAATTACTAACAAAATTTTCCATCCCTAAAGAAAGTTTTTTTGTCTCTTATTTGGCTTAGGTGGATGATTAATTTTGTCATGAATTCTTTATTTCATCGCTAAATGAATTTGTCATAACAAAAAATATTGTCACATTTTATCACTATTACCTTCAATGTGTTACGAATTTTTTTTGACATTATTTCATCATTTTTAATGATGAATTTGTTTTTGTCACTATTGGTAGCTTCTTTGAAAAAACAAAATTCGTCTTCGTTTATATTAAACGTGACAAAATTATTTCGTCTCTATTTCTTATATTTACAATAAAATACTTTTGTCTCTAATTTCTTCCTTTAATGACAAAATTTTTTGTCGCTAATTACTTACAAATATGTTCCCAACATAGTGTATTGGAGACAAAAAAAATTCGTCACAAATTTATTATTTTTAATGATGAATTTGTTTTTGTCGCTATTGGTAGCTTCTTTGACAAAAAATTTTCGTCTTCGTTTATATTAAACATGGCAAAATTATTTTGTCTCTATTTCTTATATTTATGACAAAATACTATTGTATCTAATTTCTTCCTTTAATGACAAAATATTTTGTCTCTAATTACTTACAAGTATATTCCCAACAGAGTGTATTGGAGACAAAAAAATTCGTCACAAATTTATCATTTTTAATGATAAATTTGTTTTTGTCTCTATTGGTAGCTTCTTTGACAAAAAAAAAAATTTCGTTTTCGTTTATATTAAACGTGACAAAATTATTTCGTCTCTATTTATTATATTTATGACAAAATACTTTTGACTCTAATTTCTTCCTTTAATGACAAAATATTTTGTCACTAATTACTTACAAGTATGTTCCCAACAGAGTGTATTGGAGACAAAAAAATTCGTCACAAATTTATCATTTTCAATGACGAATTTTTTTTTTCATCTCTAAGACCCTTTAGCGACGATGCTTTGGTGACAAAACGGGTGACGAAAAATATTCGTCGTAATTAGTTTGGGTAACAAAATATATACATTTTGGGACAAATTTGTTTCGCCTTTAAATCCCAAATTTGTTGTAGTGATTTATACTAGTAAGGAAAAGTCTTAGCCATGAAGGCTAACATCAATAGGGTCATCAAATTTCATCAACTCTGGCCATTAGGGCCAAAGTTACAAAGTTTCAAAACTCCAAAACCATTATATAAATCATAATGTGTATATAATGTACAAGTTTTGAGAATTAAACTAGATAGGTTGCAAAATGGATACGGGTGTTGGGTCACAACCCGATCCAAGCCCAATCTCAAACACATACACAAACTAAGCCCAATACAACTCAGCCCAAAGCTTAAGAGTCCAAGTCCAAGTCTAAGACCAAACCCAGCACATGCACAAGTACAAGTCTAGGCCCAGTATAAACCAAGATTAAGTCCAAATCTAAACCCAACTTTATTAATGTTTACTTTATGAGACAATTCTTATTCATAACTCAATGGTTTCGGCTCATTATTTTTGTATTACAATATTCTCATTTAAGATAATACAAAACCACTCAAACCCACCCCAACTGACGGTTAGGTCCCACTTTAATTTAGAATTAAAGTTGCTGAAAAACTGTTATTTTCCAACAATCCCCCACATGAATAAAATTGGCCGAATAAAGAAAAAAGGACAACGCTCAACAACAAAGACTCTAAGAGAGAGCACATAGAATAACCCTGCATCAAAAAAGGTAGCTGTTGGCCTTGAACCTTTCGTAGTGAAAGCTTATCGGATTTACTGGCTGACTAGTGAACGTGATCTCTTGAACTGTTCTGTCGTTTGTGTAAATTGAGACAATAGACCTCACACAGGAGTTACTCCAACCATTATATTTGTTCTCACTAGTGTGTCTATTTTGGCCCTAGAACACTAGCTTGGTTCAATGAGTGTTTTTTAAAGAATTCAGCCTTGTCAATTCTTAAAGAAACGGCCTCACTTCGCAATGACATAGGTGACCTACATAAGGTATCTCTCTATACCACGATTGACTATTCACAACACTTAGGTCATTAAAAGCATTAACTTAACCTCTCACCCCATAGTGCCTAAAGGAATGGGCAAGCGGATTTATCTCCACAGTGACTTATCAGTTACAAGCAATTAGGTTGTCCTTTTGAACACAGATCTTGGGATCTCCAGTCAGCTAGGTTGGGTTTTCCATTTCGGTAACATTCGCTAAAGGCCTTTGGAAAAAAAAATTCGTCTTCGTTTATATTAAACGTGACAAAATTATTTCATCTCTATTTCTTATATTTACAACAAAATACTTTTGTCTCTAATTTCTTCCTTTAATGACAAAATATTTTGTCGCTAATTACTTACAAGTATGTTCCCAACATAGTGTATTGGAGACAAAAAAAATGCGTCACAAATTTATTATTTTTAATGATGAATTTATTTTTGTCTCTATTGGTAGCTTCTTTGACAAAAAATTTGCGTCTTCGTTTATATTAAACGTGACAAAATTATTTTGTCTCTATTTCTTATATTTATGACAAAATACTATTGTATCTAATTTCTTCCTTTAAGGACAAAATATTTTGTCTCTAATTACTTACAAGTATGTTCCCAACAGAGTGTATTGGAGACAAAAAAATTCGTCACAAATTTATCATTTTTAATGATAAATTTGTTTTTGTCTCTATTGGTAGCTTCTTTGACAAAAAAAAAAAATTCGTTTTCGTTTATATTAAACATGACAAAATTATTTCGTCTCTATTTATTATATTTATGACAAAATACTTTTGACTCTAATTTCTTCCTTTAATGACAAAATATTTTGTCGCTAATTACTTACAAGTATGTTCCCAATAGAGTGTATTAGAGACAAAAAAATTCATCACAAATTTATCATTTTCAATGACGAATTTTTTTTTTCGTCTCTAAGACCCTTTAGCGACGACGCTTTGGCAACAAAACGGGTGACGAAAAATGTTCGTCGTAATTAGTTTGAGTAACAAAATATATACATTTTGGGACAAATTTGTTTCGTCTTTAAATCCCAAATTTGTTGTAGTGATTTATACTAGTAAGGAAAAGTCTTAGCCATGAAGGCTAACATCAATAGGGTCATCAAATGTCATCAACTCTGGCCATTAGGGCCAAAGTTACAAAGTTTCAAAACTCCAAAACCATTATATAAATCATAATGTGTATATAATGTACAAGTTTTGAGAATTAAACTAGATAGGTTGCAAAATGGATACGGGTGTTGGGTCACAACCCGATCCAAGCCCAATCTCAAACACATACACAAACTAAGCCCAACACAGCTCAGCCCAAAGCTTAAGAGTCCAAGTCCAAGTCTAAGACCAAACCCAGCACATGCACAAGTACAAGTCTAGGCCCAGTATAAACCAAGATTAAGTCCAAATCTAAACCCAACTTTATTAATGTTTACTTTATGAGACAATTCTTATTCATAACTCAATGGTTTCGGCTCATTATTTTTGTATTACAATATTCTCATTTAAGATAATACAAAACCACCCAAACCCACCCCAACTGACGGTTAGGTCCCACTTTAATTTAGAATTAAAGTTGCTGAAAAATCATTATTTTCCAACAATCCCCCACATGAATAAAATTGGCCGAATAAAGAAAAACGGACAACGCTTAACAATAAAGACTCTAAGAGAGAGCACACAGA